GTTGTCTTACTTATTACAAGTAATGTTTCTTATTCTTATAGAACCGTGTCATTGTGGAGCATTCAGAAATTACAGAAATATGAGAGAAATTTTGTTTCAAATTTTACGCATTAATCCGGAATGTAAAGACAGCAACTGTTAAGCTTCTAATGCATTTCTGTTTAGTGGTCGTTTGTGTATATTTGTACATTTGTTTATAAATATTTTACAAAATTTCTATCATACTTTTCTTAATGTTTTTCCCCTGATGTGTTTTAACTATGGAAATTTCCAAACACTGCCAAGAAAGAATAAACTAATGAACTTCCATATAACTTTGTGATCATCCTTATTATTCTCATTATTGTTGTTATTCCTATGACTGTTACCTGATTTTTAAAATTTTTTTATTTTTATATAATTTTAAACCTACAGAAAAGTCACAAAAATAGTATAAGGAATTCTCATATACTCTTTACACACATTCACCAGTGGTTTACATTTTGCCTATCTGCTTTGTGGCTCCATCAGCCAAATAACACCAGGAATATACTGTATTTAATGACAGCTTGTTTTAGCTTTCTATAGGAAGGAAGCCCACATACCATGGGTAATAAGGAGGTGTCTTGGTAAGAGGGCTTTAGGAGAGGCTGATTATGGGATTTTAGCATCGCATATTTGGTAATATTAGGCATTGAACTAGATAATAATGTTATGTATTAGATATTAGATATCTATCAAGTTATTACTAATAGTAATTAATAGTGTTACCTATTAAATAATGCTAGATACCACATTAGGTAACATACTGCTCTATAATCCACAGTCCTGTATTTATTTTCTTCTCTTTTTCATTTGAAGTCCTTATAATTGGTTTCCCCCCAGTTCAAAGTCCAATTTTATGCATTGCCTTAAGTTGTATATTTGTTTATAACCATTTATGAAATTTTTATCATACTTGTCGTAATGTTCTTCTTTAATGCAGAATGATTCCACAGCTTTTGTCTTTTTTGTTCTTGATGTTTTTGAAGAGTATAGAGGCAAGTTATTTTGGAAAAAGTCCTTCCTTTGGGGTTTACCTGATATACGCCATGTTTAGGTTCAGTATGCATTGTTGGCAGGGATTCTACAGAAGTGGGGAGGTGTCCTTGTCACTGCGACATAACAGGAGCCAGAGGATGTTAGTTTGTCCCTATATTGGTGAACTCAACTTCGTTCACTAGGCTAAGGTGATGTCTGTCAGATTTCTCCATTGTAAAGTTACAATTTTTTTGAAATTAATAAAGTTTTTAATGGGGAGATAGATTTATTAGTGGGCATTCTACTGTAAAGACAAGCTTCCCCATTTCTCCCCTTATTTATTCATTCATTCCTTCAAATATAAATATTATATTGGAATGGACTCAGAATCCATAAATTAGTTTTGCTAATTTAAATGACACAGATTAACAAACATTTATTTTTATTGTCTTGAGGTATATTGTACATATCATAGAATTCACCCATCTCAGGTGTGCACATCAATGATTTTTAGTAACTTTGCTGAGTGGTGCAACCATCACCATAATTCAGTTGAGAACATTTTCATTTTCCCGGTTGGATGCCTGATGCCCGTTTACACTTAACCCCATTCTCTCCCAGATACCCAAGCAACCACTAACCTACTTTCTTTCTCCATAGATATGCCTATTCTGGACATTTCATATAAATGGAATCATGTGACATGTAGTCTTTTGTGACTGGCTTCTTTTTACTTTACACGATGTTTACAAGGTTCATCCATGTTGTAGCATAATCAGTACTTCATTCCTTTTAATTGGTGAATAATATTCCTTTGTATGGATATGCCACAATTTGTCTATTCATTCACACATAGGTTGATATTTTGTTTGTTTCCAGTTTTAGCTTATTGTGAATAATGCTGCTATGAACATTCGTGTGGTCATTCACAACAAGCATACATGTAGGTGAGCAGCATCCAAGGCCACCCACTCATGTCTTTTTTCTGCCTTCCTAGGTGCTCTGCCAGGCACAGCTCTGCCTTCCTGGGATCTGTGTAACTCAGTACTCTGCACATCCCCAGAAGCAGGAGGAAAAATGATCACGTTCAAAGTGAGTAGGGCTTGCTTTTCTCGCTTTGAAAATTCCACCTCATTACTCAGATTGTCACACGTTTTTCTTGGGACAACTCAAGCAGAACAACAGGCATTTGAGGACCTGTTTTGTCCCTTTTGAGTTTACTTTGCATTTGATTTTAGTTTTTTGTTTTATGGAGTAGAGCAATTACTAGAAACGAACAGTTCTCCTACCTTAATACTTCCCTGCTGACAAATTAGCTGCTTTTATTTTCTCATACTGTTTTCCTCGTGTGTGTCATAGCTGTATTTGTATTCATGACATACATCTAATTTTAACTTGTGACTTTTTTCCTTTAATGTCATATATAATGTTCATTTGTTATGGTTATGTCACATTCCCGTTGAACTGATCTACCTTTTTCCTTTTAACTACTTCCCACTCATAGACATTTAGATGGTTTAGGAATTTTAATGTTTTAAGCTACACTACAGTGACAGCTTTCCTGCATAAAACCTTTTCTCCCAAAATTGATTCTGAAAACAGTCTGCCAGTTTTTTTTTCCCTCAATGTGCTATCAGCTCAGTATTGAAAGAGAACATTTGATATGTGTCAAGTTAGCTGTTCACTAGGTGGAAAATCTGAATACAGGCACAGTGCAGCAGGCTCTCACTCCTGCTTCACGCAAATATTATTGGAGGTTTTCACACAGGAAGAGCTAGATTCTGTCTTTCTCCTCAAAAATTGGGAAGAAAATCTGCCATTATATAATCATGAATTTAAACTTTTTTTTTTTTGCTGAGGAATATTTGCCCTGAGCTAAGATCTGTTGCCAGTCTTCCTCTTTTTTTTTTTGTATGTGAGCCACCGCCACAGCATGGCCACCAACAGACAAGTGGTATAGGTCCCCACCTGGGAACCGAACCCGGGCTGCTGAAGTGGAGCGTGCTGAACTTAACCACTAGGCCACTGGGGCTGGCCTTAAATCTGCTTATTTTTGACATTTTAATTTTCATTTACGATTGTTTTTAAATAATCAGACAGAGAAATAAGGTCTGCCTAAAGAATCATGGCTTGTGTGTATTTTATTTATTGGTCTTCTTTTTTGTTCTTTTCTGTATTAACTAATTTGACCAAAGTAATAGGTCACCTTAGTTTAAAATGTCCAGTGATAGTAGAAGATTTGCCGGTAACTTGCACTTTGTTGCCACGTTTACCCCTCAGAGCAGCTGAGTGAGGCGATTTTGGTCTCGTCTTCATCTTAAACACATGAAATATGGGAAACCTGTTCAGGTTCACACAAGAACCAAGGGTCAGGACTGTTGGGCATTCTGCTCGAGTGAGAGAGAAAGAGGAGAAACAGGACAGAAAGAGTTCGTTTTGGGACCTGTGCCCTGTAGGTGGGTGTCTGGGGAGCCCTTTTGAGTGATGATTTCCACAGGTGGGCTGCTCCTCCCCGACCCCCTCCTTGGGGTGCATCTCTTCCCTTCCTGTCACGATGCCTCCTCAGGTGCACCGAGGTGCTCAGCGCTCCAGTCACAACAAGACAAGCCGGTAGCATAGTCGCATAAAATCTTTAAATTTCTCCTTGGCGAAAGACACCTTACACAGTATTACCAGAAAGAATAACAAGCTGGGGCAAAAATATTTACCATACAGATGCCCCCAAAAAAGACAGAATCCGTAATAGGAGTCTTATGCATAGGTTAAAGAAAAAAATCCAACGGAATATGAATAACATGAACAGGCATGTTCAAAAGGAGAAACATAGATGGTTAATAAACATCTGAAAAGGTAATTGTATTAATTTATAATCAAATACGTGGGAATACTAAAATGAATTTTTCTTCCAAATCAGAGTACCAAAACCACAGGAAAAAGAAATTTTCTAACCCTCTCCTGGCCATTGTATGGAGAATCAGCGTATTTGTCTTCTCTTGAAAGATTGGGGAAGTGGGAAAAAATCTGCCATTATATGATCATAATTTTAAACCTGCTTATTTTTGACATTTTAATTTTAATTTGCAGTTATTTTTAAATAATCAGGGAAATAAGATCTACATAAAATGATGTTCTTTGCAGGGTGGATTATAGTGAGAAAAATATGTAAAATTAAATGTTCTTTATTTAGAACAGATAAATATAGATCATCAGTTCCCTGGAATAATACGCAGCCACGAAATGAGATGAAATAGCTAATGTTAATGTGAAGAAATAATAATAGCACATGTTTATTAGGCACTTATTCTGTGCCACACCCTGTTCCAGATGCTATAGATAATCTCTTATTTAATCCTTGAAAGAACTCTGTCATGTAAGGACCGTTACACAGAAGAAACTCAGGCACGCAGGCAAACTTGTCCGAGGTCACATGGCTAGAAAGGGAAAGACCCTCGGGAACCGCACTGAGCCGTGCTGGCTCCAGAGCATGACGTCGAATGCCGCAATTAAGAGATGTGGTGTGTGCCTGGAGGTTACACAGGACAAACGGCATAGCTGTCCCACCCAGGTTACCGAAAGCTTGTTAGTTTGGAGGACACTAAAGAACAGTGATGGCATCCAGGGTTTGTGTGTGTGAGAGGAAGAAGGCGGGTGCTATCAGATATGTTTGGACTAAATTGCTAAATGCTTCTGGGGGCAATAGGCAATATTCACCGAAAAGTATACCACGTGTAGCCCAGGATGCATATTTAAAGTTCTTGGGGGTTACTTGTAAGTAGCCTCAATGAGGGCGCAAAAGAAACATACAAGGACAGTTGTCATTGTCATACTTTTGGTGGCTGAGGAAAATCGGTGTGTGGCTTTGACAGGATAGAAGGAGAAGGCTGAGAAGTCTACAAATTGACTTAAGTCCCTCAAAATCTGGAACCACTTCCCACCCATCCTCTCCACCCTCTCTGTGCTGTCCCTTTTCAAGTGGCCGTTGGTTGTAAGATTGAGATTGCATGTGTTTGGTATTGTAGGAGGCGGTGGCGTTCAGGGATGTGGCTGTGGTCTTCACGGAGGAGGAGCTGGGGCTGCTGGACGCTGCCCAGAGGCAGCTGTACCGAGACGTGATGCTGGAGAACTTCAGGAACCTGCTCTCTGTGGGTGAGGACATGAGCCCTCTCTAACCGAATATCGGCTCCCTGGATTGGTTCTGTGTCCTCAGGTGTTCAAGGCTGTGAGGATCTTGAAATGGTCGCCTGCATTTGTGGACCTGACTATTGTACCAGCAATTTTCAATGAAACAAAATAAGGTAGAAAATACTAGTTTGTTAGGAAGAACGGAACACACGGCAGCAAAAACTCTGGCCATTTGCGTGAGTGATGTAAGAACCAGTGGGAGGAGATTTAATGAAAATAGACATTGGTTAGAAATAGGTTTTTCTCCTATATATTTATGCATGTGTTTCTGGGTCTTGAAATATTGGTCTTTCTTCAAGTAGATCATGTTTTTAAAAATATTTGGAAAACACTGCTATTGATTAATTGATCAGTGAGCAGGAGGAATCCAAATTTCTAGTAAGTTGTACTGTTAGTGTGTTTATTTTAAATATATGATTTCTCATGTGCACAGGGCATCACCCCTCCAAACATATCTATTCCACCACCTCCATACTGGTCCCCCTGCTCCCCCACTTCTCCTCCTATAGTCTGCTCTCCACGTGGCAGCCAAAGTGATCCTTAGGAAGTAGAAGTCAGATTTCTGTTCCTCTGCTGAAAACCCTTTATGGCTTCTTATTTTTCTTAAAACCTGTTCAGGTGGTTCCTGGAGTCCTCTGTCGTCTGCTCTGCATCCTCACAGCCTTTCTGAATACGTCTCCCGTCCTCCCTCTCGCTCTGTCTCTTCCTCCTGCGTTGTCCTCCCTGCACTTTCTCACACCTGCCAGGGACGCCATATTGCCTGTTGCTGCCGTAACAAATCACTACAGACCTCATGGCTTAAACCAACACACATCGATTACCTCACAGTGCTGTAGGTCGGAAGTGTGCCGTGGTTCTGACTGGGCTAAAATCAAGGTGTCGACACAGTTGCATCTCTTTTTGGGGGCTCTAGGGGAGAATCTGTGTCCTTGCCTTTTCAGCTTCTGGAGGTGACCCGAATTTCGTAGCTTGTGGCCCCCCTTCCTCCGTCTTCACAGTCAGCAACATCACTTCTGTCTGCCCATTCCATAGTCACGTTTCCCTCTTCTGCTCTTCTTCTGCACCCCTCTTCCTCTTTGAAGTACTGTTTTGATTGCATTGAGCCCACTGGATAATAGAGGATAGTGTTCCTTTTTAAGATCAGCTGATTAGCAGCCTTAATTCCTTCTGCAACCTTAATACCCCTTTGCCGTGTAACCTGGCATATTCTAGGCTCCACAATTAGAATAATTGGGGACAATTATTCTGCCTACTACAGATACTTTTGCCTCAGAGTCCTTACTTACTCTCTCCACCAGATACACTTTTTCACCTAAAATCCTTCTGTTCCCTCCCTACTTCGTTCAGGTCTCTGCTCAATTTTAATTTCCCAAGAAAGGCCTCCTCTGACCACCCTCTGTAAAATCCCGTCCTCTCTTTACTCTCCTCATTCTGCCTCTTATTGTGTCTCATATATTTTTGTTTACTGGCTTATCGCCTCTTTCTCTGCACTGGAGTGGGATCCCAGGGGTGAGGAATCTATCTGTCTCTTGTTTACTGCTCCATCCTGAGTGCCTAGAAGAGTCTGCTCTGTGGAGGTGTCTGTAAATATTTGTTGACTTAGTGATTGTGTTAATGGATGGGAGACCTCAGTGTCTCCATGGGTCATGGGGATACCTACAGGTCATGTACAAACCAGAATGAATGAAGGATGTTGCAGAACATTTTTTGTCTACTGATGCATGCCTATCCAATTACTTCCCATTTTAATTACTTTCTTAGGTGCCGTCGGCATGAATTTGTGTGTGTGCACGCACTTGACCTATATCCCAGGGAAACTTGTAAGCATTGTGGTTGTGACCACACTGAGGAACATGTTTCCCCTGTGGCTCTCCTGGAGACATCCATAGGGGGCATATTCATTTCTGGGAAGAATACTTTTGCAATGAGGATTCTGATATCTCATTCTCAGATAGCTCCTCCACACAAGGGAAGGAGCTCTATTTCCTACAGTGTCAGACAGTAGCCAGGTTTCAAGCTGCCTTTCCCTTGAAGATTTGCCATCTGCAGCCCATTCACCTCTTTCAAAGGGCCTATCCGTGTCAGTGCCCCCAGGTTTCCCCTTCTCTGTCCTTGAGGGGGAAGATTTAAGATGAAAATGACATGAGACACACACCTGAAGGTTGCCTGTATCTCTAGTTCAAAAATCTGTTGTGCTTTTGTTTTCTACAAATTTAGCAATTCAGCAAATGTTAAAGAATATAGATTTCATGTAATTTCCCCGTGATTTCTATAAAGATTTGGTGTTTTTTCAACTAGTGAACATTGTAACCTGGAAAGAATCAGGAAACTTCCCACTTAAAATTGTCACATCCTCAGAGAGACCTCCTGTCCCCCTCACACAACTATTTTTAAGGGTCGGTTTGTAAATATAACCATAAACTACATTACCTAGCAAGAAGTACATACCTAGCAATATTTTTTAAAGCTTCCACTCTTGGAATGTATCTTTTCCTTTGAACGATTTGTTTCATTAAGGACTGGGTAATTTCTAGAACCAACATTTTCAAGTTTTTTTGCGCATGAGCTATAGTAAGAAACGCGTCTTTCGTTGTAACCAGAACAAACATGTTGCGTGTTGTCGATTCATATATGTGACTTTTGTAGGCATTTCATGTAGTGACCCTTTCCTGTTGATGACAAGGCTCTGATAGTTTCTGTCCTGGTTCTTCTGAATGCTTATTACAAGCATTTCAATTTATTTCACAGCTCACTAGAGGGCTGCAGTTTTCAATTTGAAAAACTGTCACGATAGGCTACTTTATCTCCATCCAAAGTTTTTCCACACTCTGTTTTCAAAGAGACAGTCCAGAAGCTCTGGAAGGAACCGGTGATATGCCCTCTTGCTTTCTTTTCACTCCAAGGGATTATTGCCACCTTTGATTTTCTCGTTAACATCGTGCTGCGTGTACTCCTGTCTCTGGTTCAGCTTTTCAGCTTCCCAGCAAAACTGCAATTTTCTGTCCCTTTCCTGGTTCAAGTAACTGACTCAGAAAAGATGTTTTCCTCCTAGGACTTGGCTTGAACTCTCACCAAAAAGGTCAAACTGGGATTCATTTATTCAACCTGCATGTATGGGTACTCACCATGCCCCAGGTACGGTTCTGAACAGGGTTGTAAACTAGGAAAGTATAGGGCCGGCCCTGTGGCTTGGTGGTTAAGTGCGCGCGCTGCGATGCTGGTGGCCCGGGTTCGGATCCCGGGTGCGCATCCAGGCACCACTTCTCCGTTCATCCTGAGGCCGAGTCCCGCATACGGCAACTAGAAGGATGTGCAGCTACGACATACAACTTTCCACTGGGGCTTTGGGGGGAAAAAAAAAATAAAATAAATAAAAAAAAAAAACCTAGGAAAGTATAAAATGTGTTCAATGAACAAGGTGTAAAACACTTCCCTCTTTGATGCTGTGTTGTGGTGGGAAAGACATACATTAAACAACAAATGACTTAGTGTGTCATGTGGGAAAAACCTAAGAACCTAAATAACGAGTAAGGAAGTTGCCAGAGGTCAATTGAGTGGAGACAAGATTTATTATTTTACATTGGGTGGTGAAGAGGCCTCGCTGGTGGGCTGACACTGAGCAGAAACCTGAAAGATGTGAGGAGCCATCCACGTGTCTGTCTGGAAGAGTTCCAGAAGAACCTAAATCCAGTTATAGGCTTGGCTTTTAGAGTTTACACCGTGACCTCGTCTTTTCCTTCTCCCAGGCTCTGTCTCCATTGTAAAAGATTAGCCTCCACTTTTTTTTCCCCTAGAGATCTGAATGACTGTCAGCTTTTAGAACAATGTATGTTATCTTTTCAACTTTATTTCCCTTTTGTCCTCAAGAAGGAAACTTGCCAGTAGGAGCTGAAGTTCCACTCTCTGCTTTATGCTGTGTTTTAGTCAGTATTTGATTAGAGATTCACTCCCAAACCTGCAAATCATTCCAGCCGTTCTAGTCACCTTGACGTTGAAGTAACTTTCCAGTAAAATGACCCCAGGCAGAGTTGTGTAGAGGCTCTTTATCATGTGTCAAAGGAGGATCCATGTGTCATGGATCAAAGGAAGAGGCAGCTTTTAATTGACCATTCCTACAGAGAGGAGAGTGAATTTCTCCTTTGTAAAAATTTCTTCAGAAGTGCTTTGTTCTTTTAAAAAAAGACTTTTTTTTATAGAGTTAATTTTTCTAGAGTAGTTTTAGATTCACAGCAAAAATTGAGAAGGTACAGATATATCTCATAAACCCTCTAGCCCCACACACCCACAGCCTCTCACTATATTAATATCCCCCACCAGAGTGGTATAATTTGATTCAACTGATGAACCTACATTGACACATCGTTATCATCCAGAATCTATAAGTTACATTCAGGTTCACTCTGGGTGTTGTACGTTCTATGGGTTTGAACAAATGTATGATGACACATATCCACCATTACAGCATCGTACAGAGTATTTTCGCTGCCCTAAAACTCTGCTGTACTCCGCCTATTTATTCCTCCTTCTTCCCCAACCCCTGGCAACCACTCATCTTTTTACCATCTCCATAGCTTTACCTTTTCCAAAATGTTGTATAGTTGGGATCATACAGTATGTAGCCTTTTTAGATTGGCTTCTTTCACTTAGCAATATGCATTTACATTTCTTCCATGTCTTTTCATGGCTCGATAGCTCATTTCTTTTTAGCGCTGAGTAATATTCCATTGTGTGGATAGACACAGTTTATTTATCTATTCACCTACTGAAGAATATCTTGGTTGGTTCCAAGTTTGGGCAATTATGACTAAAGCTGCTATAAACATCCATGTACAGGTTTTTGTGTGAACGTAAGTTTTCAGCTCATTTGAGTAAATTCCAAGGAGTGCAGTTGATGGATCACGTGGTAAGAGGATGTTTAGTTTAGTAAGAAACCACCAAACTGTCTTGCAAAACGGCTGTATCATTTTGGATTCCTAGCAGCAGTGAATGAAAGTTCCTGTTGCTCCGCGTCCTCACCAGCATTTAGTGTTCTCAGTGTTCTGGATTTTGGCCATTCTAATAGATGTGTAGTGGTGTCTCATTGTTTTAATTTGTGTTTCTCTGATGACATATGGTGTGGAGCATCTTTTCATATGCTTGTTTGCGGTCTGTATATCTTCTTTGGTGAGGTGTCTGTTAAGGTCTTTGGCCTATTTTTTAATTGGGTTATTTGTTTTCTTGTTCAGTTTTTTTTTTTTTTTTAGGGTTTTTA